CTAAACAGAACAGAAAAAACAAAATAACAAAAAATAATACTAGAAATGAAATGAGTGCCTACTTAAAATGCCTGCCTGCCTTAATTGATATTGGTTTGCTACTTTTTTGATGTTTTTTAAATCTATTTCCTTTTCCACTTGTATTACACATAACACTCACTTAAACAATCAACCAACTCACATACACAAAACATTTCACTTATACATTCACTCTCACATACATATGTATGACCACAAATATCCTTTAAAGCCTTATATATACAAACATACTTAAAACTTAAATTTGTTTCATATGAGTTGACAACATTTACAAAAACGAAACAAAAACTCTCACTTGCACACACACAAAAGCACACATAGTACACAAATTTACATATTAGTGATTTCTTTCTATCTTGTTGTTTCCTGTAGTTTAGTGTTTATTATTATAATTGTATTTATTTTATACTTTTGTAGATATGTACTTATGTAAATTGTTTACACTTGCATTGAATATAATAGAAAATTAAATATTTATTAATTGCGTAACTAGAAATATTGAGACTATTTGAAATCCGGCACCTCCCCAAATGTACGTGTCAAAAGGAAGAGCACTCTTGCCGATGCTCTTCAATTTGATTTATATCTCGTCAAGCTTTCTCAATAGTGTCGTATTCTGATGATTGCACCATCAGAGTCAACATCAATAACATAAAAGTCTACATCACCCAAAACCTAGCTACCTAACCGATTTTTTTCAGCAACAGACTTTATCTGCTCCGAAATCAATGGTGTTATTTTTATACTTTATAGACCAAAGGATGGTGCTGGCACCTCTTGGTTCATGAATAAGAAGACTATTGACAACGTACAAAAGAATCAATTATGCAGCCTCGGTATGGACATCATAACTCGGTGGCACCCAAAGGCGAGATTGCCAAGATGACGATTCATCTACAAATGCGACACCAAATTACTGTCGGTTAGACAGCATGATGAGTTTTTGATTAGGCAGTTCTTGTTGGCATGCGATTTGCCGCCACAACCCAACCGTCAGATTCTGATACACGATTGCCGACACATCCAGATGAATGTCATGCCAACCAGCGTTGAGGGATTGTCACTTTTAAACGCTCAGAAAAGGCGATCTTTGAAGCCATTAGTGGCTACAGATGCAACAGAGTCCGAAATTAACACCGTACGACTTCTATGAAATGATAAAACAAAACCCGATATTATCGTCCGATGTTCAGAAACACATTTTCCTGGATGTAATTCCTAAGAATTTTCTATTCGGTCATCGTGAAGGATGCTATATCCCGAATAATATATCACTCCCAAGATAATTGGATTTAATTTCGACGAAAGCCTGACAATGGCGTGGAAAGTGCTTCACAGTTCCAGTATCCTCTTCATATGTACTATATTTGTTTGAATCCGAGCGTCTAATTTTGTATAGATTTAAATACGTAATATCATACTAACCTCAGACTTGCTCATTTTGAAGAGCCTTCTCGTCAGGGTTACCCCATAGTATCTTTGTGATTCTACTCACCGTTTCAGTATTTGAAGAAGATTTATTGGATTCTCTCGCCCATATTTTTTATACGGCCCTCGTTGCGTTGAATGGTTTTTCGAGCTCCTTTCGCTTCATAGCATACCTCTGGAAGAGTTTTCGGTTAAAGCTTTCTTACAATCCAATACGGTCTTAGATTTAATTCTATCACCTGATATCGCCCTAATTGCCTTTTGGCGGTTGGTAAATATATTAACCCCTGTTGGTGCCATATTTCTCGGACTTCTGCCAGAAAGTAAGTGTTGTAATTAGGTAAACGTTTCTTCAATGTAGAACCCAAGGTCTGTTTTATTCTCCAGTTTTGAGCCATTGGTGTAGCAACGGATTCCTATGGGTATTTGCTCTAATATTTCGCTTGATCATGACCTTCTAGCTGGGATCATTGTTTCAAAGTTACCGACGTATTGTGTGACTGGTTTGCTATCGGGATTGGTTTGTGTGTAACCTTCTAATGCGTCCAGTATACATTGATGACGTAACCTAAGAGCCGTTTGGCTGTAAGTGCCACCTCATATCTTAAATATGTATATTTCAATGTGTGGAATATCTAGTAACGTTTCCAGAGCCTTGTTTGACAACCCTTGTAGTGGTTTGATATTACACTTTTTGCCCTCCGGTCCAACCGGTTAATGATATATAAGTTAGAATGTGATATAGTAGGACTATTTGAAAAACAAATGTTAGATACGACTTTTTATACATATTAAGGTGACGTATGTATTTCCCCAATATTTGATTTTAAAAATCTGTTAAATTTCTGTGCAAGTGTAAACGTTCTTCTTTGTATCAATTGTAATTGTTAGCGCTATTTTTGTTAAAAGTTATTTTAAGCATTAGATTATGTACATTAAATTTTACGTTTTGTTGTTATTTTTATATTTTTCTTTTTGTTACTGTAGATAATAGCAATTTTAATATGTTTATTTTTTTATTAGGAATATTTCTTGTAAAAATTACAACTTTTTTCAATGTTAGTTATGAAGATTATAAAATAATAGGTCATATGTTAGATTAATCTGGAAATATTAACATTGAATCAAATTTCAAATGAAAAAGAAACTAATTTCTTGTAGATTTTTTAGACCAATTCATAATCTCGCAAAGGCCCAAACAAATACTTTTAATTTAACAGCTGCCTTTCTTTTAAGAAACTTTTTATGTAAAATTTAAGGTGGATTCCTAGATGCAAGGACATATCTACGTATACTATGAGTGTATATCTTGAGTTTATATGCTGTATATGTAACTGAAGTGTTATAGGAAATGTTGGCAACAGAGGATATTTTCTATCTTAGTTGCTCGTTTACCAGATAATGGTCGCGCTCCTGCCACCTCTTTCGATTGGTATTAGGGCGTGATCAATTTAGTTCTCTAAGTTATTTTAGAAGCCGATTTTGACTGAATCGTCACTTTATTCTCTTACGGCGTATGAGATATGAATGATATTTTCTTAAATCTTCCTTTAACTCGAAGTTTGCATATTCTTTCGTTGTAAGCGGTGTATCCAAGTACGCAATTCCGAAGTTCTTTCGATACTTAGAAGCCTGTTCCATTTCTTTCTGTAGTCTGGTCTGTGTCACTATGATATAAGTTCAAATCATACTTCATTATTTAGCCACTAGCTGCCCAGCGTAGTAACTGTATTGTATCTATGTGCAGATTTAGATCATGACCTTAGCATAGTTCGTACAATTCATGTTCTAGTAATTAAACCATTAGTTCCTTCTCTTTGCGTTGGTCCACTTTTTTTTTCTTCTTTGATTTTGATCGTTTTGAACATTCTATATTTTATAAAGTGAATTGTTAGTCTGCCGTTGAACCCTACCACTCCTTCAACTCGTCTTGGGACCGACTATGAGGGAGTAATTTACTTGAGCTGCTAGATCAACCGTGAAGAAAAATACAGAGTAGGAATACTCAAGATTTGTGCCTCAATTAACCGAGATTTAAAATTTATTATACAAAAAGCTCCCGGTTCCGACCATTACGGATAATACACTTCTCACTGTACCTTATATATCTGATGGACATCTCTTCTATGCATACAAGACAAAGCTTTTGAATTTGTAAGGTTTTATAAGGCTGTCGAGTGAATCCTTTGTTGAAACTGCTGCCACTTAGAAGCCATGGGAGTTGTCTTTACTCTCTAGGGAGGAGCATGATAGTAAAATTCTATCTGATCACAGTCGAACAACAAAGAGAGATACTCCTACTGATGGGGACAAAGAAAACGAAAACTGTCCATATCATCTTCATACTGACGCCCTAGCCACATGCTGCACTTCTTGCCATAATGTGTTATATCAATAGAAGAGACCCCCAGATTTTGTATGAGATTTTAAAGCTTTAAAAGGTTTTGGGAGAATACTCCCAATTTGAGGTATTATGATTACAATTGATTAAAAATTCTCACGAAATTAAAGAGGTTTTTTAAAAGGACCTAAGTTTTGGGTTTTTAGCGAGAATATGAATTAAACTTTGATTTTTTCATACATTTCCTAAAACATTTTCAAAAGCATAACTCATGGATCATTAAACAGAATTAAAAAATCTGCCAATTAAAAGTTGCTCGTTGTCTGTTAACGTTATATTTCACTTCTGAATATCTTATTTTAAAATATTCATAATTAGTGCCTTACATTTTTTCATGTATAGTTAATGCATTACATATTTAATTATGGAAATAGATTTATTTAATATTTATAATATTAACCCCCAATTTCACCACCTCCAGTTATGTTTTAACTAGTAGTTATTCTTCCAGTTAAGACAATTTTTGTAATATAACTGTCAATATATCTTAAAGTTAAAAAATAACTATACATTGTGAAAATGGGGGTTAAATTGATAAGATTTATTTGATTATTTTAAACAGATTGGGTTGATTTCAACATTTCTAACAAACTAATTCTAAATGTCTTTTCTAAAGGATATTTAAAAAGTAGAGTTTCCAAAGTTATTTTACAATTTTATTGATATTTAGTTTTATTTAAAAGAAAAAAGTTACGTTTGCATGTTAATATTTGGATTTTATTTTTGCTTTTATGGTTAAACGTTTCAGTGTTTTTTTTTTTTACATTGTCTGTGGTTTAAATAGAAACAAAACAAAAAAAAACTATGCAACATATTAAATGTGACACAAATTAAGGTGAATTTATACAAGGTAAGCTCACTTCAAAGTTTTTGCTTTCATGAAAATTTATATAAATAAATAACGAATTTGAGGTGAGGTCACCTTATATAGATTCGCCTTGATACAAACAATCCACTATGTCAAACTGTCTTTGTCTACTCTCTAAAACTCAACTTTTTTTAAACTCTGCTTTATTGCGCTTTTGTCCACACACACACACTCAAACCAACCCAAACCACCCATATAAACAAAACACCTACAAAAACATTATTAAAATTTTTAAAATGGAAACTTATACTAACACCTAATAAGACCCCTTGTCTTCACAAACTTTAATTACAATTTAATTAAAAAACCTTAAAATGTTATTAAAATTTTTTTATAAAAACAGTTTGAAGTTTGTGAAACTTGGTTTTAACCTTAAATTTGTTCTAATTACTGTTTTAAAAATTTTATATTAATTTCAATTTCTTTCTTTAACTATAATTAGGCGTGATGCAAGGTCCCCGTGGAAGATCAATCAGCAGTAACATTAGAAACAAAACAACACCCACCAATACTAAAAATACCACAACCCCAGCAACAAGAACAACAACAACAGCAGCAACTAGCTTTCATCCAGACGAAGCAATCATCGAAACTACTAACAGCTTTTCTCCAATGTATACATCAGCCTCCCAATCATCCTTCGGAAGTATAAATTCAGCAACAAATCTACAGCCCACTGGTGGTTATAGACGTATACCAGAACATTAAAAATTTAAGAAGTTATAATATTATTTTCCTTATTATTTTTCGTTTAATATTATTAATATATAATTATAATATATAAATAAATAAATCGTAAGTATGGCTGAGCCACCTTTATAAAAACATTTTACGGGAAATTAGAAACTAAAAATCAATGAAATAATTATTTTTTTCCTATAGTTACCTTGAAATTTCCCTTTTAGCTAAACTTGGAGTTAAAAAGTGTTACAAGTATAGTTTCAAATTACAGTCTTATACAATGAAAGCATATCTTAAGATTATTTTTGTCTTAAACATCTAAACAATTTGGTTTATTACGAAAGAAAAAGACAATATGATCACAAATTTTCTTCTCTCATTTCAAATTATTATTTATATTTTTTAAATATTTTTTATCAATTATTATTATTTAGATGTTATTGTAGGGTATGCCTTTATTATTTAGTTTTATATTCATATATATTGCACTGATTTTGAAGGTTTTTTTTTAAGTTATTGAATTTGATTTTGAACTGAAATTGTGTATTTTATAATTTACTTTTCTTTTTTTTTTCTTTTCTCAAATAATTTATTTGTATATTTTGTAATTAAATTGGTGTAAAACCTTTTTGTTTGTAATATATTCTTGTATTATTTGTATTATTCGAAATATTTTTTTAATAAAAAAAAATAAAAGAATAAAATGTATGCTTTTTTTTAAACATCTTTGCATAAAAAACCAATTGCCGGAATTTTGTTTTTAAATTATTTTGAAAAATTTTATGAAAAAGGAATTGTTAAATAACATTTGGTTTATGAATTATGTTTGAATGATAAAGAATGGTAAAGTTTTTCAAAGGAGTTTTGATGAAATAACTTTTAACTGTTTTAACTTAGACTTTCATACTAAAACTTGTCATAAAGCTAATGTCTTTTAGGGCGGGTTTCTTACTACTCAGTTAAACTAGGCTTAACTTGCTGTTAGAATTAATTCGGAACAAATTTTGGCGGACTTTAACCTATGATTGTGTTTTTCAGTTATGGATTTAAGTTCAGTTAACTTTGTTAGTATTGCCAACTTTTCACTCAAAAACATAAACAATGAACAGCTGTGTTTTGCAAATAATACTTTTGTAAAATGAAAAATTTGCAAAAATGTTAAATAAACATTTAAAACAATATTAAATGAAACAAAACAGATCAAAAAATTGCAATTACTTAAAATATTAAGTTTTTGTTCTTCCGAAATCATTGTTTTATTGTTTTTGTTAATTGTTTCTTCTCATTTATAACTTAAGTTTAATTGGCCAATAACATTCAGTTAAACTAAGGGCCCTAAGGGCGGGTTTTTTAGATAAAGATAATCTACATTCTTTGTTTAAACCTAGTTTAATATATGTTTTGTGTTTTTCAGTAAACAGAAACGTTACTTATTATCTTAGTTTAACTGAGTGTTATTGGCCAATTAAACTTAAGTTATAAGTGAGAAGACACAATTAACAAAAACAATAAAACAATGATTTCGGAAGAACAAAAACTTAATATTTTAAGTAAATTGCAATATTCTGATTTGTTTTGTTTTATTTATTATTGTTTTAAATGTTTATTTAACTATTTTCCAAAATTTTTCATTTTACAAAAGTATTATTTGCAAAAAACAGCTGTTCATTGTTTATGTTTTTGAGTGAAAAGTTGGCAATACTAACAAAGTTAACTGAACTTAAATCCATAACTGAAAAACACAATCATCGATTAAAGTCCGCCTAAATTTGTTCCGAGTTTAATCTAATAGCAAGTTAAGCCTAGTTTAACTGAGTAGTAAGAAACCCGCCCTTAGTGACTCTTATATTTGTAACTGGATGTCATTACTGCATGTTGCTGTAACTAAATTACAAACATTGTATTTGGAAGTTATGTAAAATTCTTAGTTCATTTATAATTTTGAATCTGGAATATGAAGAATTTTCTCTATATTTATAGATTTCATTACAAAATGATTTAAACCCCATTATCTCAACTCCGGGAAGATATGTTGCCAGTTAAAACTGTTTTGGAATGAAAACTATCCATATATCTTTAATAGATCAATATATCGGTTTAACAGTTAAGCTTAAATTTAAACTTATGATCTGTTACTTTCCGCAGAACATTCCTACGATAATTGGATCTTTACTCTGTAACAACCCGAGCCTTATTCGGTCAAAGATCAGCAGGAAACGTTAAACAGAAACGGACATAAACGTTTTATGTCCAATTTGGTGCTTTAGTTCTTGATTTTATCGATAACGAACAAACACTACTAAACATATTTTAGGTTCATAATCCTCCTGCGGAGTTGCTGCAATAGTTCTTCCTGTTCTTGAATGTTCTTCCTTTAACAGTTGATACAACTGTTGTTGGTTTGACAATTTTTGGCCGATTGTTGCGGAGCGGCATTGGAAACGTCCCTACTGCAGACTCATTACGATCAATTAACTCTGATCAAGATATTACAACAAAACTAAATGATTCGATTAAAGAAAACTTATGAAATATTTTGGACTCATATAATTTACTTAATATTTTTCCGTCCTTTTCTAATTTTAACTAAGCAGCTCTGTTGGTATTTAGAGACTTTATTTGAACTCTGCAGGAAAGTGGAATTATTTCAATCCTCCTAATCAAGCGGGAATTCAGTGAGAGGATGCTAAATTATAATTCGCTCATGTTATCGCCTTCGGACAGTTTTACTTAATTCTCATTAATTTTTGTGGCCAAATTACACTAGTCGAAAGCGATCGAAATCTCAATAGAATAGGTTTCTAACTCTGTTAGATGATGGTTCGGGTGGCCGGTCCGATGACATCCCAGTTGGAGCTGCTTTGATAGCAAGGTGTGATGTTGCATAACCGAAATCATCTTAGTCTCGACATGTTGATGTTCTTCTGACCTTCTTCGGTTACTGTTTTAAGTGCCGCGTTTTGACAGCTTTGGAGCTTCTTTCATTGTGTGTTGCTAACTCTAGAAGTCAACACTGACACTGCGTAGTTTCCCACTGACCGTATTAACGTTTGTTAGGTAGATAAACAAGGTTTCTTTATCGATTCCCCAACTGCTGCCGGCTAGAGACTTGAGTACCTTGTATTTACTTCTCATTTTGTTGCAGGTTGCAGTAGTGTGCACGGAGGACATAAAAGGCTATAGAATGTGATACATCGGCTGTCACATCAGGTTCTAGTCCTCCTTTTTTTGCCCAGGTAGTAAAAAGAATTGCTAAGAATTTTGTCGGTAATATTTTTAAATATCTCGAATGGAAGAAGCTGGAAAGATCACATAAGTAACTGTTTAACAAACCGCAAAAGTCATCAATACTTTTGCCCGTGCCCAATAACGAGCAGTCATCGGCGTAAGATATTATTTAGACGCCATCTGGGTTGGGAGTTTTGACAAATGGATATTAAACAGATTCGGCAAACGAACTCTACCATGGAGAACGCCTTGTTTATTTCTACGGATCTTAGTTCTCTGCTTTCTAAACCCCACGAATGACTGTCGTCCACACAGAATTTAAATAGTGTTTTTGATCGCTTTCAAACCAAATTCATGACCAATGTCTAACAACTATCTAAAGATCTAGTAAAGCCTCAATTATTTATCACGTTCGAGTCTTTAATAAGTGCCGGTTCACATAGGAAAACTTTTGATTTCTGTATGTGAGAGAAAGAGAAAGAAATATCAACCATCTCTTTCTCTTACAAACAAAATCAAAAGTTTACCTGTGTGAACCGGCACTAACTCTCCTATGTATATGATTTAAATAAATATATAAGCTAACATTCGAATCGTAAGTTATTTATTTGCCGGAAGAAAAAGGTGGATATCAGCTACACTTCTAAAACGAGCCTTTTTTTCGAGAGGAATCTGTGTTGATGCTTTTAATTAAATCATATTGACATTAATGGAATCATTTGCGAATCCTTTTAGTACGGATTTACTCTGTATTTCGATTCGAAAGAAATATTTTTCGTAAAATTCGAACATTTTCGCATTCGATTTGAATTACAGAGTAAAACTTTAGGTTCCGATTTACCGCATTCGTGTTCGAGTAAAATTTTGCATAATTTTCCCTTCTTCGACCAGGAAATCTAATGTTAATCTAAAAAGAGTTCATGTTGTCGGTAATGCGGCCTAGTTTCCTGTTTATTTAAATCCTGATTGTAGTATCTCCATTGTTTAATTGGTAGAGTGGTAGTCTATCAGTACGGAGATCATGGGTTCGATTCCCAACTCAGATACTCAGAAAAAGTAGCGCACTACAGGCCCTATAGGAACTGATGTAACTTGTAAATGGCCGTTTCCAAATAATAAAACTATTCATCAAAATATGGTTGCATATCATTAGTTTCTTGCAACATGCCCTTAACATTATCAGTTAAACGTTTATCTGAACCTGTAACGGTTTTTAAACAACACAAAACTCCCCAAATACTTCGATATATTCGCATTTAAACAGACATAAACAATAACATTAAATTGAAATTTTAGTTTCCATATTGTCCATAAAAATAAACATATTAAACCGAGTTTTATAGTTCAAACTGAGGAAGGAAATTATACTTAAGTTTTTTTAAATTTAAGTACAATTGCTTACCTTAGGTTGGACTTAAAAACCGACTCTTATGTTGTTAATTAATATCAAATTCCTGAAACTATTATTATGTTCATTAACACAAACAAATAAGAAAATGTCATAAAATTTGAATAAAATGTTTTTTCCCCAACTAAACAGAGGCGATTTGTTAAGGAATCTTAGAAATAATAACAAAAAAATCAGAAATATATAAATTACTAAAACTTTATATTTATTAATATTTAAACAAAATTATTATATATATATATTTAACAAACAAAATAAAAAATGGAAAAAAATAAGTATATTTAAGAATAACACCAACAACAACAACAAAGAAAACAAATAAATCACTTCATATTTGTGTCCTTTTTTTATACACCTACAAAGTGAAACAGAAATTTCCTAAATGTCTATATAAAAAACAAAAACAAAACCTATAATTAGTTTGTAAATGCAAAAAAAAAAATTATCTATAAATAAAAAAATATATTAAAAATTACAACAAAACGAAACTACAATAACTTATGTATAATATGTAAAACAGCAACAACAACAAAAACCGACACTGAAAGAATGTATGAAATTTTATAAGAAACTGCAGAAAAAAACAACAATTATTATTTTGTGTAAATGATTGTTAAAAACTCTTGTGTATTTGTGTAATCTCGATGTGGCCTTCAGTAAAAAAAAATCGTTTGTTTTATTAAATAGTTGTTTTCTGTTTTCTAATTTAGTTTAATTATTTTGTTTATTTTTTTTAATATGCAAATATAAATAACTATTAATATATAATAAATAAACTATGTATATTTAAAAACTTTTTATTTCTAGTTTAATATTTAATAATAAAAATTGAAAAACAAAAGCGATAATCAAGTAGTTCCAAACAAATAAAAAGTAATGGAAACCTACTACATATTGTGTAATAACAA